AGAAAGTTGCTCTAACAAAAGTTGCACCCCTCCCTCCATCCATTAGCTATAGGGGGCTTGAACACTAAGTAATTCCAGCTGATACTGGTCAAGAGGCAGGTGCTCACTGAACAAGTCGCCAGTCTATTACAGACATGCATGGTGCCCCATTATGAATTCATTTCATTACATGATATTTTCCCAAACACCATCATTGAATCAAAATTAAATTGTGTCCAGTGTTTTTGTTTATGGCCAAATGTCTGCAAAGCTAAAGCCATTCCCATCAGTCTTAGATGTACTTTTTGTTTAGTGCTAATTTGCTAAGTTTAGCATGCTAACGTACTAAACTAACACGATGAACCTGGTACACTGACATGCTAACCATTGATAAGTGTCAGAGACCCCAACAACGATGAAGTAAAGCCGGTAAAAAAAAAACCTTAGAAATTGAAATGCTCCTATTACTGTGTGCCCATCAGCTCTGCCTGCCAGCCCGCTACAGGACAACAGACAGTGTGGAGTGTACAACTCAGCCTTTGACGGCCACTGGCAGAGTCTTTCTTGTGAGTCCGCTCTGCCTTACATCTGTAAGAAGACACCTAACAACACCTGGAGAGCTGAGCCACTAGGTGAGAGCATGAACATAAACATAAAAACACACACTGCATTAACAACCGACATGCAGACTGCTTCCCTGCATCTGCAGAGGTGTCCTAGATTGTGGCAAGGCTGAATTAGGAAGCAAAGTGCAAAATGTATGAGAAGGTTTTTTTTTAGCTCTTGGCCTTAACAGCTGCACTGCGGCTGGGGAGTGAACCTTTGACATTCCATCTATTGCACTGTTGGAGGCTACATCAAAACAATGTCTGCTGTGAATCTGTGCTGTAAAATGTGTTATTCTTGTTTATTCTGATTTCTCCTCCTCTCCTTTCCTGATTCTTCTTGCTCTTACAGAGAACTGGCAGTATATTCATACAGACTGTGCCAGTGGCTGGTGGCCTCATAATGGTTTCTGCTACCGGGTGCTGTCAGAAACAGAGGCAGGGAGCTGGGAGGAGTCTTCCCGGACATGTGGCTCTCAGGGGGCAAACCTCACCAGCCTCCACTCTCTGTCTGAGGTGGAAATGCTGCTCAACCTCCTGGCTAACTGTAAGGAGCATCATGCAATACAGTTATATGATGTTCTGTTTGTTATAGACACTCTGAGGATACTCAGGTGTTTACTAACTACTGTTTTGTTTGTGTGACTGTAGCAATTTGTGTGCTTCCTCGTGTTTCACAGTTTCAGGGGAGAGTATGGAGGTATGGATTGGTCTCTGGAAACAGGCATCCTCACCGACCGTAGAGTGGTCTGATGGCTCACCAGTAACGCTCACTCTCTGGCACCAGTATCACCCTCCTCACAATTTGACGGATGCAACTCTTTGTGCCAAAGCAGACAGGAAGGTGGGAAACCCTGTGCTGGTGCTTCTGGAAAAAGTGTAAAAACCTTTGGTTTAAATACTCTATTGAAGCTCACTTATGATAAATGAGTTTAGCTCCTTTGGTGAGCATTATTTTCATTATATATATA